GACATTATATCTGTGTTTAGTGTATTATATCTTTTTGTATTTTTGTTCTGTATGCAAAATAAATACAAACTTGAATTACTCTAATGGCTGCTCCCTAATAAATAACACTAGCGATTCCAAAGCTCAGTCAATAAACAAAACGGCATCAAAGAAAAAGAAGTATCACAAAATGTAAAGTACTAATGCTGCAGATCTCTGTGTGAGCAGGTTCCAGATGTGCGCCTGCTACTCTGCTCCATCAGAGCCTCACAGCAGCTTCACGCCGCTCACATCTGGTGCACATCACACTCCACACCACAGAGAGCGAATGTTTTCATGTTCACATTGTTAGCAGCAGCAGCGAACACAGTGGTCAGTTTTTGATCCTTGAGTGGACGCCCCGATGAGACACCATGTTCTGGGGCGTGTGTGTTTCACTGGCTGCTGCACTGTAAGGGAGCAACTCTCTGACCCACTGGACTCAAATAATCACCATTCTTCTCATCTCCACTCACACCACACCTCTGAGTTAAACAAACTGCCCCACAGACTTAAAAGTATTGTTTATTAGAGCGGAATTAAAATAAAAAAAAGGGAAAGCGTTTGATATTGGGGAAATTTCCAGAGTCTGTTCTTAAAGAGATACTGTAAGCACTTCCACTTCCATTTGGAAATAAAAATTGATCAGCAGCTATTTTCATAATCGAGTAATCATTTCAGCCAAAAGCCAAATATTCCCTTGTTATAGCTTGTGGTGTTTTTGATAACTAGAGAAGAATTCAATGAGCATTTTGCCTTCAGCTAATGTCAAGTGTGTACAGAAAACACAGCAGTTATAAAGTGCAATTAACGCTGCTGCCACTGTGCTGACTTTCCTCAACAGCTTCTGCAGCTCTAGTTTGGACCCCAGTGAGGAGCAAACAATTTCCCTGACAGCTAAAGGAAACATGAGTCAGAGCAGGGTTAATGAATGTTGCACACCAGTGATAAAAGACTGTATGTGGTACAATATGTTAATGTTTGACACCCAACCTTTAACACACAGAAAAAAGCTGAGACAGATGAATGGGCCTGTTAAACTTCAAATTCTAACATTTTCTCAGAAAAATAAATTACAGTATGATACCAGGTGTCGCGTAGCTGGCAATGCTTTAACAGCAATGTTTTCTGGTTCGAACCTCGTCAAATACTTGGCTACGTTCTAATCAGCTATGGTGAACCAATTGCCACTAACTTGGCAAAACATTTGAGGGCACACTAGCCTCACTTTGCTCATTATTCAGTTTGCAACTCAGCATGTGAAAGCTCACAGGCACAGATTTGTAAGAGCAGAATCAGATTAGAGAGCGTAATCCTGGCCGTGCGTGCACTCGTTTCTGAGCCTGATCTCTTAGATTTCGCCCTCAAACATTTTGCAGAGGATTTGCTTCTATATAATGAGAGCATGCTCAAGATGATGAGAGTGCTGCATACTAAGACATACTTGTGTACAATGTTTGAACCAATCACCACGGAGTGACACGTAAACTGCACACTGAAACACAGTTTTTTTTTTTAAACTGGCTACAGAGAAGATACAGCTAATGCAGAATGGCTGGAGATTGTTCTGATATGAAAACCATAAAAAGCACCTGCTACATGGCTGCACATTGCCCTCAAACTCAGGGGTACCAGGTCTGAAAGGGGCCATAGTATACGGAGTGACAAAGTCTACATAGTCTGGAGGTGGATGTGGATCGATGGGTCGACAAAACACAGGACATCGCTGTTCATTTCCCATTTGAAAACTACAGTCATTGCTTTCAATATGCACGCTACACATTTGGCAATGAACCCAGTGTAAACCAAGTTAAATAGATGATTTAGAGCAGCTGAACAGAGTAGCTACCCTCATGGTCAGGAGGTGAATGCTCGAGGGTGATGTGAGGCATAAAAATGCATCATTCATGGCAAAGAGTAAATGTTTCCCTCCGTGAGAGGGGGTGAGGTGGGACCTGGTGGTGGATTCCGGGGAACAGAGACTTGGCTGGAGCAACTACAGCTGAAAAAACAAGCCTGAAGTCCTGAGAGCACAGAGTCCTGTTCGCTCAAGCACAGTAGGTTGGGTCACTGTTGTAGCACTTGACTCTGGGACATGGACTCGACTCAGACTCGAACACTAGGGACTCGACTACAACAATGGATTGGGTAAATGTGTGGTAAAAAGTAGTAGAGCACAAACATCTTAAAAGTAATTCTGCCTGAATACGTTCAAACAAACCTGTACTGATGCTTACCCAGAAAGGATCCAGTGCTGCATATGAGACTGAAAAAGCAACTTTCAGGAGGCAGAGATCCACATTTACTGCAATGGAAACAAAGAGGAAAGCAGGGTAGTTAGTACGGGCTGGCCTCCAGGCTCAGCAGGCTCGAGTGCAATCAAGTTCTCGCTGAGTTCAAATCAGACCTCCTGTGCTCCCTGTCATGCCCCCTCCCATCACTTTTAGGTCCTATGGTTTTTACTGTGCAGCACTCTCAGGCAGGAATTCCAAACAAAATGTCATAAAAACCCAGGAAGCCCTCATGTGCCTTCAGTGACTCTGTGGTAT